AAGGTGGCTGTTAAATACGAACAATCGTCGCCTGCCTCGCATAACTGGTTCTAAACGTAAACAAGCCATAAGAAACCTACAGGATTTGTTTACGTTTGGAACCAATTTCATACAAGAATGATCAGTATGCTGATTTGACAGCACGTCCCCCCAGATATAAACTTAGCTTTGATGGAACAGAACGTCCTTGATGCTATTCAGAAACTGAAATCTTCCCCAGCTGCTGGACCTGATGGAATTCCTTCAATTGTACTGATGAGATGTGCTAACTCGATTGGTGCTCCGTTGACAATTATTGTACATAATTCACTATCACATGCAAAGTTTCCAGAACTGTGGAAAGAATCTATAATGTTCCCTATCCACAACAAAAGGACAAGCGTGATGTCACTAGTAATCATGGTATTACCAACCGGTTGAAACTAACGATTTTAAATTGGCTCACTACTTCACTAGCCTATTGGTCCCAAGCAAACGATTAACGTATCCCATTCTAGTCTAAATTCTAGTACTACAGTATGTTTGTGCTCCCCACGTGCTGTATTCATCGACAACGAACCCCTCGTCGATATCTGCGCCACCGGCAATCGGCGCTACTTCAGTACCAACCGAGGGGGACGACTCTATCTACGATGCAGGAAATATTGTGTTTTGCTGTGGCTAGCTGCAATAGAGTGCTTCTTTGCCGACCTCACTTTGCCAACGCAGGTAAAGCAGCGGTGACATCGATGGTACCGTGAGTAAACAAACGCATGCAAATCTCCTCACACACAAACACATGAGCACGAAGACAAGACCAGGATAGGCTAGCAATCGCTAGAACTAGTTTAGGCAACCGCACACACAATTAGGGAGATCTATCAAGCAAAACAATAAATGGGAAAGGAACAAGTACTGTGAATAAACCTAGGTTTAGAAACACTAATAAATTAGAGAATCATTTCCGTTATTTGGCACTGACATAAATGTTGTTTCGTGAAATTAAAGCTTTCCCCGTAATGTTAATTTTGGTTGTCTAGATTGTTCACATTTGCCGTCGTTCTATTTTTGCGTTTTTAGTTGTAATTTTTATTTTGTAGCTGAATTTACTCCAGGTTCGACTGCCTGGGAAAACAGTCTCCGCACTCACGGGTCAGGATCGGTAGAGGAAATTTGAAAGGGAAGTTCCTCCAGTGATGATAAACGTGAGTGGGGTTGTTGTGTTTCGGTAGAACGACGGTAAGCACCAACTTTCGCTTAAGACCGTTTGACGCGGCCTCTATCTGTGAGGATCTCAATCCCTCTTGGGATTTCAGTCTATTGGATTGTCCTAACCTTAATTTCGGTCTCTTTTATACATAAACCCACCCTGAGGTTGGGTTTCTTACCGGGCAAACTAAACCTAGCCGAGTGGTCCTCTTCGGAGGTGGCGCTTAAGCCACTCGTTATCGAGACAGGAAGCGCATTTAGTGGTCAATGGTCAAAAATCTCACAGGAGCGGGTAAGAGTTACAACGTTAATCGTTTGCTTGGGACCAATAGGCTAGTCAAGTAGTGAGCCAATTTAAAATCGTTAGTTTCCACCGGTTGGTATTACCATAGAGGTAACTCTAAGCCTAGTAGGTCCCGAAGAAACGTGCTCAACTTTTTAGCTCAGCTCTGGTACAATCTTCGGTCCCAAGCTAATCGATGCACCCCTCGAAACATAGGAAAATCCACGAACCCCTCATTTTATCTGTCAAACTTTCATAGCAAATCAAAACAAACACAGCGTAGTACTAGAATTTTGACTAGAATGGGGTACGTTATTTGATTTGCTTGGGACCAATAGGCTAGTCAAGTAGTGAGCCAATTTCAAATCGATAGTTTCGTATTGATTGTTGGTATTACCATAGAGGTAACTCTAAGACCACTGGGTCCCGAAGAAAATCATTATTATTTTTGGCTCACTCAGTACCAGAACAACGGTCCCAAGCAGTCCCAATCTATTTCACTCACCCCTGCATGTTCTGCATGAATCCACACACCCCTGATGTTATCTGTCAAACTTTCATAGCGAATCAAAACAAACATAGTGTAGTAATAGAATTTCAACTAGAATAGGGTACGTTAATCGTTTGCTTGGGACCAATAGGCTACTAAAGTGGTGAGCCAATTTCAAATCGATAGTTTCGTATTGATTGTTGGTATTACGCTCTAGGTCGTTCGGTTCTGGAAGCTGCTACAATCGTATGGAGCCCGTATGCGCACTCCTGGATCAACAGGATTGAAGCAATCCAATCCCGGTTTATTAAATTTGCACTGAGATATCTTCCGTGCCTGCTTACCGCCGTAAAGGGTGTCCCACATCAAATTGCATCACGGAGAAAACACTGTAGAAAATTACCCATTGGGTATTTCCTCTTGAAAATTTGGCGAGAAGTAGTTTAGAGTGTTTTGTTTACACTGTATTTTTATCACTGCCAGTTTTTCGAAAGTTGTAAAAAATGGCGTCACCCGAAAAGCAACGTCGCGAACTGATTTTGCGCATGCACCTGGAAAATCCTCAACTCTCTCATCGGGACATCGGAAAACAACTCGGAATCGTGCAGTCAACGGTGAATCGTGTGATTAAACATTACTACGAAACTCTGATCATCGAACGGAAGGAGAAATGCGGTCAGAATTGATGTTCTATTAGTGATGAGGATCATAAACGTGTCGTGAAAGCGTTTAAGTGGAATCCCAATGCTTCGGTCAGGTATGTGGCCAAAAAGTTGAATCTGTCCAAGTCTTTCGTTCAGAGAGACAAGGACCGGGAGGGACTGCATACGTACAAAGTGCAGAAGGCTCCAAATCGTGATGAACAGCAAAATACGGTGGGAAAGTCACGGGCCCGGAAACTGTACACCCAGATGCTGACGAAGCCTCATTGCCTCATCATGGATGATGAGAATTACGTCAAGGCGGACTTCTGGAAGCTTCCGGGCTAATGTTCTGTTTGATGTTCCGGAGGAAGTTAGAAAGCAGAAACTTTCAAAGTTTGCCAAGAAATACATGATTTGGCAAGCGATCTACTCATGTGGCAAACGGAGTGCGCCGTTTGTGACTACCGGGACTGTAAACGGGGAGATCTACCTCAAGGGGTGCCTACAGAAGCGTCTGCTTCCTCTGTTGCAGCTACAAAACGGTCCTACGATCTTCTGGCTTTCGTACCCAAGGACATGAACCCCCCCAACGCACCGGAACTAAGGCCCATCGAAAAATACTGGGCTATTATGAAGCAGGCACTACGGAAGCATCGGAAGGAGGTCAAATCTGAGGAAGACATGAAGAAAAAGTGGGTTTCCGTACAAAAGAAGCTGCAACAAGATGTTACAGAACCTAAGTGGAGTTAAGCGTAAGGTGCGAGCGTTCGGTTATGGTATTGAAGTTAAATGAAATAAATATGCCAAAAGCTTACTAATGGGTTATATTTTATTGTCTGAAAGTTTGAAAAGGGTCGATCAAATAGGTAATTTTCTACAGCGTTTTTTCCAACATCAAGGACACCTTTTATAAAGATTGCTGTAGGTTGCTCGGAATTGAAACGCTTCAACATACACAACTATTGGAACCTAACGCTTCTAACGTATCGCAACGGTATACGGCGTGGTACACAAATTACGTAACGCAAAAAATCTGGATTGTGGACCCTCTTTCCCTATGTAACAATAAATAACGCTTGACAAGACTCCCCTTCCCTAAAATTACGTTACGTTAACTCACTCACCTCCCTTCCTTTTTTCTAGATTAAATAAAAATCGTAATTGACACAAGGGTTGCTTGGATTTATTTACCAGCGTTGGAGGCGAACCAGCCTAAGGCTGAAAGCCTCCTAAATAAAGCTAAATTAATTAATTAATTATTTACCAGCAATTCGTTTTTTCATTTGCTATTTTTTTATCATTTTGGTCAATCTGTTACGTAACATATCTCAAAAACTTCAACCCCTTCCCCCCTCGAGGCGTTACGTAAATTGTGCACGAAGCCTAATCGATTATCGTATACCCTTATTAAGGTGAAAGCTGATAGAATTCACAAATGGTTGCTGCTTATTCTGGCTGTCACCGCACATTTTTGATGGAACGAACGAATCTCAGAAATTATTAAGATTTCGTGCAGGAAAATGTAACCACACGTATGCTACAGTCAGTGCAGCAAAAGAGTGATTATAATTTCGCACACGTTATCTTTATAGTTTCTGAGATTCGTGCCATTGAAAATTCTAAGTAGCATGGTCAAATAACCATAATGGCGGCCATTTGTGGATTCTATCAACTTTCACCTAATAGAACGTAAAGCGCAGTATCGATATGACTTGACTGCCATATTTTGTGGTGATTGATTAGATTTTTTTTTAATTATAATCTTCGCAACAATACAATCGAAGTCTTCTGACGTACGTAACTGCAACTGATAGCAAGCACTCAAATATGTATACAGAACCCTACATTGCCCAGCACCTGCCAGATTGAGTTCAAATGATCTAAAGTTGGTAAGGAATTAAACAGCCCAGACAATTATTACTAAATAAACCCACCGGAGCCAAACCATTTAAATCACTATCAACAAGGTTCCCGACAAGTCCCTGCAGAAACCACAACGTGCGCATTCCCCCCAATGACATTTGAAACCCAAGAACTGCGGCTAAGCTGCACAACTGCACACGCTGTCAACTGCCAACTACACTTGCGGTGTAGGTGCACAGTCCTCCCAATGCCCGCGCCCTCACTTGTTATCTACCGATATTGGCAGATAGCTATTGCTCCCGAAGGTAAGGAGCTCACGCGCGCGCCACCAAACCACCCACCCGCACAGGTATTGGCTAAGTAAAGTCACTTCTGTGTGGGTCACTCAATCTCCTTGTCAAACGTCTCTCAATTGTCTCGGTGGTCGTCGTCGTCGTCGTCGCCGCTGGTTTATCTCCGATATCCGATTGATACTGTGGGGCTCGTGCTGGCAGTCCTATCCGGTTGCTTGGTTCATCATCATCAGTTGTGCTTTGAAATCGCAGAACGTCGCTTACCCTATCGATGAGCGTTCGCGTGCGTGCGTGCACTGTTAGCCCTACGAAGTGTTCCTACGACGACAACATCACAGTTAGTGGAAGAAGTTATAGGAAACTATCGACAAATAAAGAACGACAAAGAGTGACATTTCCGTTCGGAGCAGTTGTTGTGATTAGTGAGCTATTTTGCCATTAAGGGTCATTTTGAGCAAGATCGATTTGTGACGCGATTTCGACTGTTGTTGGAGTGCTATGGAGGATGATTTGGGATCGTCGGTTGAGATTGATGGGATATTTATTTGATTGGACTGGAAATGTGAAATGTGATGAATTGTGATGGATGTGTTCTGAAGACATTGGTTTCAGTGTTACTTTGAAGAAATGTTGGATTAGTTAGCGATTTTGTAATGGAAGGCTACTATGAACGATGGGATTTTCTTTTACAAAACAGTTTGTTAAATGTTTCACTCGAACGCAAATATTTACCAATGCATTAAAGCTGTTAATTCTTTCAGCGAGGCCTGAATATGTATATCAGTGTGTATCTTAAGTGGTTATCAATTATTACCGTGAAGATGGGTTATTCCTCAGCGCGTGTCAATACGCTGATTGCACGCTTATTTCTTGTTTTTTTTCAACGAGTTGAAATAGTGGATTTTATTACTACCCTCGATAAAGTGTTTTTTAGATCATATATAAACTAGGGTAGGTGAGCCAGTTTTGTCACTAGTTAGTAAGCATTTTTAGTTTTCACATTTTATAAAATAGAACCCACCTTGTTGTGTGACAACCCGAGCAAAGTCAGTTCACAAAATGAAAGCAAATCAATATTAGTTTGCTGTTCCTATCGCGACATAAGTCTGATATCATACTAAGCAGTCAAAAGTTAAAATGAAAGCAACGTTTGCTGTTAACGTTTGGTTGAAAACTTAAATTAATTTCATCTGTCGTTGAACTAACGATTATTGTTTTGGTATTTGTTTCGTTTAACACATTTTAGGTCATTCGTGACTTGTCCGGGTGAGATTTGAACTCAAGGCTTTCAGCATGAGAAGCATGGATGCTAATCATTTACGCCAGTAAATTCAGTTTTTTTCTTTGATTTGTTTTCCTTCGATCTTGTGCTACCAATGCTACCGACGCCAGGGAGGCAGCTCCCACACCTGGACCCTACCTGCCGACTCATCAACTCATGGACCGGGCACCAACGGCTTTTTTTTTCATTCCGATGGAAGGCGTGGTCAGAGATTTTATGCCTAAAAAATTTATTTGATTTTAAGGTAATTTTAGTGTAAAATGTGGCTGTCTTATTTGCGGTGCTAACCGTTATTTTAACCAAAATGAGATCAACTGGAGCATTCAAAATAAGTTACATCATAAGAGCAAATTTTGGTTTCAATGTGATCTCCAGCTTTGCTCGGGCACTGATACCATTCAATTGATGATCAATGTATTCTGAATGATGAAACGGTGTGAAATCTATCAATTTGGCATCACAATAATCATAATATTTGATTTTAAACTTCAAGCTCCATCGTTAGTTTTGGCATCAGTTGTTCCTTTATTGGCCGTAGGGGTGATACAGTTTTCGACCGTAGTGGTTATTTCAACGGAGCAGTCTTCCGTTGGTGCAATGAAATCACAAAGATTTTGAAATAAATTAATCTCATAATTTATGAAATTTCAAAAAAATAGTTTCAGTGAAGTTTATTACTCAATACCATATTCAAATTTCCGTAGATTGAACAGCTAAAAATATTGGTTTTATATGATTTGGCGCTGATGTGGCTCGTGAGTGAATGTTTTTGAATGATCCAGAGGGCAGTCTTGAGCTCGTTTTATTAAATTATGATCTATCCACTTTTTTGTACATATGGAATCCTCCCCTGTTCGTAGCAGCAGCAGTTTTTGTTTATCCCTGTGTTTTCACATTGGAAAATACGAAACCTAAAGCAATATCTGTAAAGGGACAAATGGTACCTTTGACCAGTCTTGTAAGTGGTCACCGTAGTGGACATATTTTCTGTGATAATCGACTGCCTTTGCTTTCGACACTTGCAAAACAAGCTATAAAATTACAGTACCAAACTAAAATATCATATGACAGGCTCTGTCATACGACACTGTTGCTGAAGACCGTCACGAATGTATGTATTTTAGTTTTTTTCATGATAAGAGCTGCTGATGTTGTTCTTGTATGAATTCTGAAAATAGCAAGCAACGATGTCCTCGTAATAACATTTCTGATCAGAAATAGTTTAATTTACACCAAATTGAGGCATTAGAACAAAAATTACACATGTCATATGATAGTTATTTGAAAATTTTCTTTTTGCTCGAATGTTGTTCTACCGTTTGCGTTGTGTAAGAGAGACGACGGTAGAGCATGAGAGTTAGACTGATGCAAAATTTGACTTTTTCGCTCCACAGTGCTTAAATGGTTTCAAATCGGGTCGTGATTAGCCTCCAAAAGTTACAACTCATTTGGTTAGAAACAGACTTTGCACAAACCATTTGAAGTTTACATGTAAATTACTATGGGAAATCTCAACTTTTTGTTCATTGCCTTCTAGTCTTTTTCCATATTGAGTTGCAAAACAGCTCGATAGCTATTCTTATAGAAAATTTTCTCAGCTACAACTTTGTTGAAGATTGTTTCTATGTAAAACGAGACAGGAAATAGTTATTAATTATTTAAGAGATTGGTAAACTTATGACATGATCAAGCAGCTGCTCTGTAGGCAACACTGTATTTTGCAGTGTGACATAGTAGCCATGATTTTTGTGTCCTATTCAACGCCCCAGAAGCACCAATGTTGCCTGCTGAGCAGTTGATTGAGCATGATCATAAGACATCAGTGCATTGAACCATCAATAACTTTCGATCCTAGCATTTAATCAAAAAGTAGTCTTCAGCAAAGTTGTAGCTGGGAAAATTTTCTACAAGTAAAGTTGAAAGCTTTTGAAGTAGACCGATATGGTGAATTATTAGATAGACATGAACAAAAATCTTGGTTTTACCATAGTAATTCCCATACAAACTTCAAATGGTTTGTGCCATCTCAGTTTCTCACCAAATGGGTTCAAATTTGGAGAGGTTAGTCATAATCCGATTTGGAATCGTTTAAGTATTGTGGAGTGAAAATTTCAAATTTTGCATCACTCTAATGAAAGTACGAATGAAAACAGACTGTCGCGCAACGAAGCGAGTGTCGTAAAAAACGTCAACAGTCTCAACCCCTGCCTTTGACCCCCGGTGATCTGACCGTTTTATACTGTACACTTTGTAATTTGAACCCCGCTAATCTACACGCCGTGTAAACTAAAAATTACCAGAAGCATGGAATTCTGATGCTGATAGGGTTACTAAGAGTGCAAATTAAAAATGCACCGGGGGTCCACCTGATGGAGATGAAGATGAAGATGAAGACCACTGCGACCTTCCGTCCAGTTGAATCCGATGGGTTTGGGGTAGTGCCTTAAATTAAGCCAATCTTCATCAAATACCGTATCAGGACCAGTGCTGATAAAAATCGTTCCTTCACATATACAGCTGAATTGATGATAATATCGAGGTTTTAGGCTCTGGAATCGACAATATTCAAAGTAATCATTTTGTCGAACATGAATTTGATTATTTTGCTTTTGAGGATAGCTTCTGATCTTGACAATTTTGGGTTGGATACTCAAGCAGTGGTTAATATCAACAAACGCATTCGTTGATGTATAATGAACTCCCAAGTAACATTGCAAGTCGAGTTCTTAAAGCATTCTACAAGTCTAAATCATGGGCAACCGAACCCCAGGGCAGTTACATCAGATGCGGATTTCGCGAATTTCGCGGATTTGTCGTGGATTTGAACTTTCAGTCGCGAAAATCGCAGAAACATTAAATAATGTCACGAAATTCGCGAAGGCAGTCCCTGAACTTCATTTTAACCTTTCCGTCCCGAATTATTTTGCTGTTTTCAATTTTGTTGTTCATTTGAAATGATCTCAATTCCATAAGTCACACAGGATTTACACGGAAATTCCCTGAGGTCTGTCCAATGTGAGACATTTTCCTTTTTTCCAATATTAACATAGCATTTTTCGTTGTCAAATCATAAAATAATCGTATATATGCCATGTATACCGGAATTCTAGGTTCTCCAAATCGTCCTTGAGTTCAGTTGACGAGCTCTACTATATCAACCAAGACTGCAATAATGTCTTTAGTATCGAAATATGTCCAAACAGATGCAAAGTATCTATGTGGATTATACCCGATCTATTGCTACGTATACAATATGTTATAGTTTCTGAAATAATTCTGGAGATCAGATTATTTTTCTACTAGATCACCCAATACTAATTCTATATCTGTCGTATCGAAATATGCACAAACAAATTTGCAGTGTCTATGTGGATCATGCCAACGTATTTCCGTGTATCCCAAATGTTCTAGGATTTCCAAATCAATATTTCGATACTACAAATATTATCCTAGTCTTTGTTGATCTAGTAAAACAAATCATCTGAACTGCAGGACGATTTGGAGAACCTTGATCATCTGGTATACGTGGAAATAAATAAACATTATCCATATAGACACTATGAGTCTGTTTGAACATATTTCGATCCTACAGACTTTATCCCAATCTCGGTTGATCTAGTAGATCAAATTACCTGAACTCCAAGACGATTTGAAGAACCTTGAATATCTGGATTACTCAGAAATAGATCATGCGTGATCCACATAGACATTTTGAACCTGATTGGACATTTTTCGATACTACAGACATTTTTGCAGTCTTGGTTGATCTAGTAGAACAAATCAACTAATGTCTTGGATGATTTGGAAAACCTATATTTTCCAATATACATAGTAATAAATCGTGCATGATCCACAAAGTAACGATTCGGTTATGATTTGACAACGAAAAGCTTCATATTAAAAATAAAAAAAATAAAAATATCATGAAAATGTCTCACCAGAACCGCGACGTGACCAACAAGTGTGATTTATGAAAGTCTGGTAATTTCTCGATTATGTACAGGGTGTTTGGTTTGAATCGATAAAAAAAAAGAGAAAACTAGAGCCAAATTAACTACAACATTTAGGACAGCAAAATACAGCAGAAATCAGAAACGCAAAGGTTAATTTTCAAGAAAATTTGCATTTCAAATGAAAATG